ATAAATTTATTATTTCTTTAAAAAAATCAATTAACGAAAGTGAGTTTCATACTCATACTAACCTTATTTACAAGCTTAAGGATTCAAAATCTGAATTCAACTTTGAAGAGGGTTTTAAGTTAACGTCAGCTTAAGCGTGAAAACATATGCTCAAACTAAAGTAGATATATAGCTTGATTTTTGAAATTATTATCCTGATTGGTGAAAGTTTATTATATAATGCAGAAAGATTTAAATGTCTTTCTTGCAATTAGGGGTGAGCATTTGGTTTGATCAAATCAAAGTGGTTTAATTTTGTCTGACTGAATAGATTTCATAATGACTGAATTCAAACTAAGAGCGTGAAAATCGCTTCAGTACTAAACCAAATCAGATCGGTTGGAGTTTGGTTCGGTTATTCTGAAGCGAATCATTTATTTTAGGGGTAAATATCAATTCGAGCTGCACAAGTGATTGAATCAAAAACCGTTAAGTTAACACTATTCGAACCAAACTCTTAAAATACTAACCAAATCAAATCAAAATGAGTCGGTTTGGTCCTCACTAATGATGATCACCCCTACTTGCAATGAAGTTATTATTATTATTTTCCAATCTTTCAGCTCAGCTGAATAATGGAATTGGCAGTGAAGGAATATAACAACCTGTGACATGTAAAGCTGCTTTCTAATTATAATTCCTTAAGAAAGATAAGGAACCTGGTTCTTTAATTCCTTCCATCCCCTATAATGGTTCCATTTTTCAATCATATGGCAGAAAGTGATTAGCCATCTTCTTAATTTTTTTTTTCTTCTTCCTTTACAAGTCTCTTTTCTGGTATTTTTTTATGATGATTATTACATTTATTGACACGATATACATGTTACGTAAATTTACCATATATATTTATGATGTCATAAATAAATATGGCAATGGACCCGATGCTTCTGGATATTCACGTACAACTTGTCATTTGGAAACAAAATAGATAATAATTAATATGGCAGACATTTATTTATAAAACACAATCATGAAATTTCATTTGTTCTTAATTTCCTGTGTTTCTGCAATTATTAAGATTATCTCCAATTATTTGGACAAAACCTTTTTAAATTCAAAGAAAAGACTAAAAAAATCTAAAAAGAGTTTATGTGGTTTCATGTATTTGGACATGAAATCTTAGCAAAAGTGAAGGTGAGGTAGATGTTTCCACTTAGGGGTTTACCTGCAATTATAAAGACTCTCCAAAATATAGTTTTTTTTTTTTTTTTTTTCATGAATCTTAAGCCAAAAGTTGAATGTTGAGGTAGATGTTTCCCACCTTAGGGGTTTACCTGCACATTATAAAGACTCTAACCAAAAAATATTATTTTTTTTTTTTTTTTTTTCTAATTAATTTTTTTTTTTTTTTTTTTTCTAATTAATCCAATGAATTGAGTGACCATATAAGGGTTCCTACCCCATAAATAAGAGGGCAGTCCAAAAGATAGTGACCCTTCAAAATGATGGGGCAGGCCTGCCCATCAATAAGACAGATAGTGACACCTCAAAAGAGCACCCTCCCAAGTCCCTAACCCCATGAGTGAGTATGAAGCACAAGTGGAGCCAATCACACTATTTTATGACAAAACTCACATGAAAGAGAGTTGTTCATGTTAATACATAAGCACTGTTTCCCATGTACGAGGGGCCATATATTTTTCTTTTCAAAAAGAGAGAAATTGAAAGGAAGGTAGATAAATTGAATGGTTTCATTTCTCATCTTGTTCATTAAAATTGAATTTTTAGAATCAGATTATTAACCTATTCTTTTTCGCTTATCCCCGTCGTTTCGCTGGCGGATCTTTACCTTTGTTATTTTGATATCATATCTAGAGATGAGCAGTATTCGGTTCAAACTGAATAGCCGAATAGAACTGATTCATTTTGGTTTAGTTCGATCAAATTTTTTAGAGATCGGTTATCTATCAATTCAAATAATAAAATCGATGGTTTTTTATTTTTGGTTCGGTTACTTGAATAACGACCCAAATTGAGTTATACACTCAAAAGAGATTACTCAGTTTGGAATACCCGAACCGATCTGATTTGATTTGATTTTGAATTAATTTTTCACATAGCCTTCAGTGTGGTTCCGATCGACATGAAATCTATTCTGTCAAACCTAACCGAACCAATTCGATTCAGTCCGATTCAGTTAGACCGAATGCTCACTCCTAGTCATATCTACTTAAATTTGATGTGGATGATTTGATTTTCATTAACATGATAAATAACGTGTGTATATATATATATATATATATATATATAATGATATTTATTATCTTTTTTTTTTAAAAAAAAAAAAGAAAAGTAATGAATAGTTGATTGAGTTCAAGTTAATACAAGAGCACTCTTTTCCATGTGAGAGGGAGGGAGAGAATAGGGGAAATGGATTTTTTTTTTTTTTTTTTTTTTTTTTTTTGATATTTATATCTTTTTTTTTTAAAAAAAAAAAAAGAAAAGTAATGATAGTTTGATTGAGTTTTCAAGTTCAATAACAAGAGCAGCTCTTTTCCATGTGGAGAGGGGAGGGAGAGAATATGGGGAAATGGATTTTTTTTTTTTTTTTTGCTTTTCTGTTTTCTTTTAAAGTTGGAAGATCAAAAGTAAATATATACATATATCTTGCTACTTTCGCTAAGCTAGCTTGCTTTTTACTTTTCAAAGCCCTCTCTTTTAGACTATTCCATCGTCTAATAAAAAGCATAATGCACATTAAACATTGAGAAATTGGTTGGTCCCAACCATGTAGGGCAAGGAAGAAGAAGAACGGAATTAAAAGTTAATATGTTTTTTTCCTTTTTGAATTAAAAAAAAAAAAAAAAAAGGCCTTCAATGTTCCGCTGACATGATTTTTGTTCTACGATGTTGACTAAACTGTAGTCCATTATAGCAACCACCATTATATATCGATCATTGAAACAATACATAAGTAATGATACATTAATAATCATGCAATTCTTTTTACCTTTTACAGCCCCACTGTTCCCTGCAGGCACATGTTTCCAACTCATAAGCTAAAACCTTTCATTAAAAATTTTAAAAAACAATATTAACACTGTAGGTAATAATAAAGGGGTTACACCATAATGCCATAAAAATACACAACTTGGGAAAAAAAAAAAAACCCCAATTTTTTTTTTTATTTTTTTAATTTTTTTGGTCCAACCCTATAAATTTGTAGTAGGACAAGTAATGAATTCTGCTAAGCATGGCTCTCTCTGGAACTTTTTTGGGAGTGGGTCCTCTGAGGCATTATTAAGGTGCTCATATGTTGTGGCTTTTTTCATGTCACTTCTTGCATATTGTTTTATGTCCATAAACAAACCTTAAAGATTTAACTGTATCTAATGCTACTAACCGAATATGGGTAACTCAGCGTGACAAAAGAAACACGTTACGGTGTTGATCATCATGACTTGAGTCATAAGGTTCGGTTTTCCCTAATGCAACCCTCGGATAAGTCCTTTGCCTTCAAATACGAGGGGGATTTACAAACGGAACACAGTATGTTATATTATAATTTTTTGAAGTAAGCTGTGTCATATATTTCTGTGAAAGGATTCCTCTTATGTTTTCTTGTATTGCTTAAATTTATACCCTGGTTAGTGCAAAAATGTGACATGACTGCAAATGGTAGCATGAATAAGAGAAAAAACCCAAATTGGAAGAAGTTTGGGGTCATAAGGACTCGCAGCTGTCTATTAGCCATCTACTTTTCTTGGCCATTACAACTCCAAATATTTTATCAAATACCCCATACCGAAAAAGATTCACTCTCTTGGGCTTTTTCCAATCATTCTTGGCTTCAGAAATCCATATTGATTAACATGAAACAAATTTTTTTATGCTTCAATTGTAATTTGCAACAATTCCAACGTTTTGAATTGTGAAAAATAATTAAAAATGTAGAAGAAGTTTTGAGCAATTGAAAACATTAATTTATCTTAATTTTTCAGAATTAAAAATGCGAACTAGATTTACCATTAATTTAACCTTAAGCCTCCCCAATATGATATTCATGATTTGGCAATATGCCAATGCATCAATTATTTTCTCCACCAGTTAGCAATCATAATATGAGTAGTCATTACAAAAATCAGAGGATAGCATATAATGGTTGTCATTATCAAAAGCAACAGGACAAATGCAGCCATTTTTAAATGATTGAAAGTGCAATTCCAACATTCTCATTCAAAAGAATAAAGGAGAAACCTTTAAATTGATTAACGCGTAAAGGGCAATTTTTTTGTCAGTATGAATAAAGAACAGAAAGAAGATAGGCAGCAGCAGCAGCAGCAAGCAGCATCCAAACTTTAACTTTTTCTCCTCCTAATTCTGACTTTAAAATTTCCTGTATCCAATTGCCTTTATAATTTTATTTTTTTAATTAATCATAATTAAGCCATGCATAAAAAATAATTAATAAGCTCCTACTGCCCAACTCCTCTTTTGCTTTAATGTGTTCTACTTTTCTTACTTTTTAATTTTTCTCTTCTTTTGCTTAAGGAAGCCTTTAAAAAACCACAGAATATAGATAACAAAGAAGAATCCATTTTTATTTTCATCCAGAATTTCAAATTTCCTCATCTTCTTTCTCGCTTCTTCTTCCCTTTTCTTTCTTAAAAGGAAAAGACAAGAAAGCAAAAAGAATGAACAGAAAAGAGAAACAAAGAAAAGGAGAGGCTTAAGCTTTCTTTCGCTTGTATTTGAAAGACTGCTCTTTCTGTGAAAGACTGTTTGATTCCTTAAAGCCTATGCACACTTGAAGTTTCCTCAAGATTCCCTTATCACTTTCCCCATTACTTTTCCTAGAAAATCAATCCATACCCCTTTCCTTAAAATCCCTTTTTGTCTTTGCTTCAAGTCCTTCCAAACTCAATTCCCCCTGAAGAGAACAAAAATAATTTCCAGGAAAACAAAAAAAAAAAAAATATCAACATGGTTCCCTCTTTCATTAATTTTGACCACCTCTGCTTCTTTTCTAAACACTTCTTTGTTTTGCGTTCTTTAGTCAATGATTTTAAATGCGCTTAATCGCGCTAAAACAAGAATTTGAATTCCCTGAACTAGAATTGAATCTTGGGAATGGTTCATAATCCAAAGCTGCGGTTTGTTCTTGGGCTGGCGTTAGTTGCCCTTCAAGAGGAAGAGTTGTTTGTCATTGGACTTAACAGATTTGAATCTTTAATGGGTTCTGTTTCACCTCAAATTTCAAGACTTGATTGGGTCCTCAGCCACTTGTCTCTTGCAGGAAACACTTCACACGGCCAACATTGAGCTTGTCAAGTTTAAATAATCTTCAGTTTCTTTCTTAACATTTCAAACAATCAATTTTCAAGTGGGCCAGTTTGGATTGGAACTTACTTCAGAAATGAGGAACTTGGAAGGTGTTTGATGCTTACAACAATAACGTTTCACTGCTTTCCTTCCTCCTGGGAATTTTGTCATTGAAGAAATTGAAAGTACTTAGATCTTGGTGGGAAATTATTTCTATGGCAAGAATCCCACAAAACTATGGTAAGCACTGGTGGGGTTAGAGTATCTTTCGCTCCTGCGGGGAAATGATCTTCATGAAAAAACCCTGGTGATTAGGCAATTTGACCTAACTTACAGGGAGATTTATTTAGGGTACTACAATGCTTACATAAAGGTGGAATGCCCCTAATGGAGTTTGGGATTTTGGTGATTTAGTACAGCATTGGATTTGTCAAATTGTGGACTGATGGTCAAATTCCAAAGGAGTTAGGGAACTTGAAGTTCTTGACACACTTTTACTTGCATGTCAACTTGCTTTCAGGTTCTATTCCGAAGGAGTTGGTAATTTTGACAAAACTTGGTCCAATCTTGATCTTTCAAATAATGCACTCATTTGGTGGAAATCCTTTTGGAAGTTCATTAATCTAAGCAATTGAAGCTTTTTAATCTCTTATTGAATAGACTAGCATGGGTTCTATTCCCAGATTTTTGTTGCAGAATTGCCTAATTTGGAAACATTAGGCCTTTTGATGAACGCAATTTCACTGGTGAGATTCCCTCGAAAACTTGGCCAAAATGGGGTAAGCTTTCACTTGTTGATTTTCTTCAAATAAGCTTACAGGTCAATCCCACAAGACTTAATGTTCCTCTAATAGTTAAAGATTCTTAATTCCTTTTCCAAGAATTTTTCCTTTTTCGGTCGCGATTTCCTGAAGGGTTAGGAAAATGCTATAAGTCTTACTAGAGTAAGACATAGGGCAGAACTACTTGAATGGTTAGCAATTCCAATGGATTCCTTTAATTGCCTCAGCTCAATTTAGCAGAGTTGCAAAGCAATGTCCTGTCAGGTAGTTTTATCAGAGAATGTTTAATTCCTCATGGAAAACCTGTTAATTAGGCCAACTCCAATCCTGTCAAACAATCTTCCCTTTCAGGTTTCTCTAACCATTTTTCCATTTCCAATTTCCTGCTTTCGCCTCCAAATTCTTCTCCCTGCGTGGAAATCAATTCTAGGTCCAATTCCACCTTCTATAGAGAAACTTCATCAAGTACTAAAACTTGATCCTTAGTAGGAATTCATTTTCTGGGTCAATTCCACCTGAAAATAGGAAACTGTTTTCCATTCTCACTTTTTTTCCTTGAACATTAGTCCAAACAATCTTTCTGTTCGATTCCCTAGAAATAACAAATATACATATCTTAAACTACTTGAAGCTTATCAAAAACCACTTAAACAAATTCATACCAAAAAAATCCATCGGTTCAATGAAAAGCCTTAACAATTGCAGATTTTTCTCTTTCAATGATTTTTCTGGTAAACTACCCTGAATCATGGCAATTCTCAGTCTTTAATAAATGCCTCATCTTTCGCCGGTAATCCTCACTCTGTGTTTCTCTTCTCAATAAATCCTTGTAAATTTTCACTTCCGCATTGCAAATAACGCAAAAAAAAGGCACCTAATTGACCTTCAAGTTAATATGTGCATTAGGCCTTTTAATAATGTTCTTTTGATCTTTGCAAGCTGCTGCAATAATAAAAGGCGCAAGTCTTTCAAGAAAAGCAAATTTCAGATTCTTGGAAATTGACAGCTTTTCAAAAAACTCGAAATTCTCAGTTGAAGATATGCCTGGAATGTGTTAAAGATGGTAATGTTATTGGTAGAGGATAGGTAGCTGGAATTGGTGTATCATGGGAAAAATGCCAAATGGGATTGAGAATTGCAGTAAAAAAAACCTACTTGGGTTTGGTACTAATAGTCATGACCATGGTTTTAGAGTCAGAAAATCCAAACACTTGGCAACATCAGGCATCGAAACATTGTTTCGATTTGCTCGCTTTTTGTTCGAACAAAAAAGAAACAAAAATTTACTTGTTTTATGAAATAATATGAGAAATGGAAGCTTAGGAGAAGCATTACATGGAAAAAAGGCGGCATTCTTGACTTGGAATTTGAGGTAGCAAAATTGCTAATTGAAGCTTGCTAAAAAGGTTTATGTTACCTTCATCATGATTGTTCACCTTTGATTGTTCATAAGAGAATGTAAAATCAAACAATATTTTGTTAAATTCGAGCTTTCGAGGCTCATGTTGCTGATTTCGATTGGCGAAATTCTTAACGGACGGAGGAGCATCCAGAATGTATGTCAGCTATAGCAGGGATCTTTATGGTTACATAGCACCTGGTAAAGTATATTACTTCTGCATTTCATTCTAAAAATTAAGGGTCAGCTTTTCCTTTTCCTTGTACTTCTATTTCATTTTGGTTATTATTGTTTTGCTTTCTAATCAACATTTGTTTAACCCCTCAAACTATTTCCATAGCTTTAGCCTCCCATAGATCTTTATAGGGGTGTGCAAAACTACTACCGAAGTCGAAAATCGAACCAACCCATTTCGGTTCGATCAGGTGGGTTCAGATAGATTCAGTTCAGTTGGTTAACACAGAAATTCATGCGGTTCTTAAAGTAAACTGAAAAGGGCAAAATCGACGCAAAATAGTTCTGAACTGCCCAGAATTCAGTTTGATTCAAATAACCAATTTCAATTCCAGTTCGATTTTATTGTTCAAAAAGCCTTCAAACCGAAGCGCGACGCGTTTTGCTCAAGGGTAAAGATCTTTCCTTATTCTTAAGAAATTTTGATCCAACAACCAAAGAAATAAAGAATTGTAGTTCTACAACATGAAGACTATTACTTCTCAAGACCGAATTACATCCGCAATTCCCAAGCCGGGGCTCTCTTCCCTGTCTGACTAAAGTGACAAGAGCCTATATGTAAAAACCACTTCATGGTACTTCGAGTTCAATGTGACAGGACAAAATAGACAAACTAAGAATACTTGGCAACATCGAAAATTTTTGGTAAACAAAACAAGACAGCCTCTCGTTGTTGGGGCCCAAACAAAAACTATTGATCTCCGAATCTGAGAAGGGTCAATCTTGAACACATCATTGGCAAGTCTGACCATGATTCTATCTAACGCAAGCAGCAACGTTTGAGATTAGTGAAAGCCTAAACCGAATACATTCCCATTTTAAACAACTCTATACTATACCTTTTGCGCACAAATAATAAGAAAATTATATATATTTTTAATTTTAATTTTATACGTTACAAAGCTAGATTTTTGGTCTTTAACTGTAAACACGCTGTATTTTCTTCTTCTTCTTCCTTCTTTCTACCCACTCTATACCTAATCGCTGTCCTTTCTTTTGGCTGTTTTGTTGATTGTATTTGTAGAATACTGCATACACGTTTGAAGGTGGATGAGAAGAGTGATGTGTTAGGTTTTTTGGAGTGTTTTTCTTTTGGAGCTTTCTCACCCGGACGTCGGCCGGTCGGGTTGATTTCGGAGAAGGAGTAGACATTGTAGCAATGGAGTAGAAGAAGTGACAAGCAATCGAAGAGAAGATGTTAATGCAAGTCGTCGATCGAAGACTGACAAATGGTGCCTAAAGATGAAAGCAAATGCAATTTATTTTTCAATTGGCAATGGTTATGTAGCCAAGAAAAATAGCATTGAGCAAGTCCCTACAATGAGAGAAAGTGGTTCAAATGCTATCAGAATTTCCCCGCCCATTCTCCAGATTATCATTCATCATCAATCTTCGATTGTTTCTTCTCAACCAGTCGAAAAATGGGGAAAAAGAGAAAAACTAATGCGAAATTCAAACAAGATCTTCTAGTATATAAGAGGTTGAATAAATTTTTTTTATCAGATAATTTTAATGGCGTCCTTTAGTTAATAAATGGCTTGATTTTTTTTTTTTTTTTCTTTTCCTCTTTGTTAATTGTGCAAGTATCAATTTTTTGGGGTTAGATTTAGAAGATAGGAAATATTTGGTAAACGCATAGGTGTAGGAATAATTTTTGGGGTTGCACTTCTTTTTAAAGAGAATATCCTTTATGATGGAAAAAGAGAGCTTGCAATCTTTATAATGGGGTCATGCATGCTCTTCTGGTATTATACTTTTAATGTATACAAATGTTATATAGCCTATTTGATTGCTTTACATGTTAACCTCAAATTTATTTAAAATTTTCAGTTTTCTATTCTCAATGTCATAATTGATGCTTATGGGTATGTTAAAGACAAGGATTATATGCTATGTATGTGAGTCATCATTCATGAAGCATCCCTACATATAGTGATTGTTTTCTTTGAAATAATTTTTTTTTTATTTTTGGGGACTGTTTTTCTCTTAAGCAGAGGGTTTGAATAAGTAAAATCTGGATGCTGGTCAAAGAATAATAGCACAAACAAAAAATGCAGTAAAATGTAAAAATCTATAGCAAATAGCAGTGAGAAAAGAAAAAAAAATTGTGGATTGAAGCGTGGAAGAGTAAAATCTGTTGTCCATGTAATTCAAGTTTGAAGTTTCTTAATAACTCCAAATTGCTGGAATATCCATTAATTGCCAACTCTCTTCTCTTCAATCTGAATTACCAAAAAAACTCTAAATCGCCGTAACGCAGTGAAAAAACATCCTGAAATCAAAGAAATGGTTACCCCGTAGAATGGGGCGGCGACCGCCCCGGCCGGTGGCGCAGCGGTGAATGTAAAGTAATATGAATGATCCGCACCAGCTGCAAGAATCGGCAATTCGTTGAACTTGAGAGAATACACTCTAACTTCAGACGAGTTAATGTTTGGCCGGAAATTCTCTGTGACGCAATTGAAACGTCAACCTTTCCATGGCACTGAAAATTATTTTTCCGTTGGACGTTGTCCTGGCTTTCCTTTCCCATAGTTTGATTTATCTAAGATATAATACTGCTAATAAGTCTTGCCCACTGGCCCAATAGCCACTGTCATCCCACAGTAACAGGTAGCGGTAATAAGAGAGACGGGGCACGCCTGGCAAGCCGAGCTGTTCGAGCTTCGCTTGGAAAAAAGTGTGAGAAAAAAAATTCAAGG